AGGGGGCTTCACAGCTCCACCGGGGATCCGGGGGGCACACCGGCCATGGGGGGGGGCGTTGAGGGCGCTCCCTTCCCAGTGATTTTTTTAGGGCTGGGTGTGCGGGGCAGAGGGTTAGGCCCTGGGGGGTCTCCGGGTCAGGGGCTCCTTCCACGTGGCTCCGGCAGCTCCGCACTGGGTGTTGGGGAGCGGGCACCGACCTGCTGGTGTGGTGAAGGAGCGACGGGCTGTCAGGGCTGCGCCGCATCCACCCAGAACCTTCTCCAGAGGCACCATCTGCATAATTGGCTCTTGTGCCAGCGTCGGTGAAACCTCCGTCGTATACATTAATGTAAACCAGCCCTCGTCATTCTTCTTCTTTGTAGTTTGCTCCAATTTATTTCATCAGCACTTCCCAAGCTTTAGCGCTAAACCTGGCTCCCTATTTTAATTTTTTTTTATTTTGTCTCCATTGGCACAGTGTTAATAGGCAGGGCTGAAGCTTTCAGGTATTTTCTGTGAAGGTAAAGAGCTGTGGTGGGTTATAACCCTGGGTGCTATGTTTAAATGCCCCTTAGCTCAGGATTTCCTGCTCTGGAATTCATTGAATAGTTTTAAATGTTTGTTTCAAACCTTTTGCTTCTTGGGAAATGAGGGGGTTTTGCTCGATCACCCCCCAGTCAGTGCTGTTAGCAGAAGAGCGTATTTTTGCTCTCACTGTGTGCTATAAAGTGGGGGGGCAGCCAATAATAAATTTTCTTACAGGATTATTTCTGATTATTTCTTCTTTTTTTTGATTTAAAAAGCGATTCCTTCAGTTCTCTTTGATTTACATTCCTTAACTATTCTGTTTAAAGCTGAAGACAAATGCATTCACACACGTGCCTGCTGTAGTGGTCTTTCCTGCAGGTGATTATATTTTAAAAGCGCTTCACAGAGGAGGATCAGAATCATTCTCCCTGTTTTACAGATGGGGAAACTGAGGCACAGAGCTGGAGTGAGTTGCACAGCACGATGCGGTAGGTCGGTGGCAGGCGTAGGACCGGCATCGGCGTGCCTGATGTGCGGTTTGATCTCCCTGGATTGAGCCCCGTCCCTGCCCTGTGCTGAGCTCCCCAAGTCCCTCCAGCTCTGAGCCGGTGGCACTGCTGCTCCCGCTCTGAGGAGCCTTCTCTGTGCCAGGATGGGATAGAAATGAGATCAATTCACTCTTCACTTCGCTTTCAAGCATTTAATGTGGGATAATTCCTCCTGAGTTGCTTTCCCTCCGATTACAGCTGTGCGTTTGCAGTCACGAGGCTTTTGTGTTCTTCAGTTCTAAGCCCTGTGTAAAATCCTGAGCCCAGCTGGAGGCGAAGGCTGCCTGGCGTCAGCTGAGCTGGTAGCGCGGGGTTGTTTTGGGTTGTTTGGGTTTTCTTGGTGTTAGGTAGTGAGTCAGGGATGTTATTGTCATTCCATCCCGGGTGATGTCATTTGCTGGGCAGTGAGGTAAGGTCCCCTGGGCTGCAGCGCTCCTGGCAGATCGCGTTCCCAGAGGGGGTCAGTGTTGCCACGTGGGGTGGTTGGGAACAGACAGCAAATACGTGTCTTTCGGTGCAGCGAAGCTTCTGGTTGCACTTAAGGTTTGGGTGCCGATGAGCTTCACAGCAGAGTTCAGAGAGAAGAACCTGGTCTCTGCGCTTCCCCGTTTGCCGTGAGAAAAACATCTTGGGAGTCTCTGTAGGGCTCCCCAGCGGGGTTTTGGAGATAATTTATTCCACAGCTCAGCTCTGACTGAGCTAAAACATGAGAATTTGTCTCTGCTGAGCCAGGAGGACTGGTCAGAAAACACTGAATTTCGAAATCCCGCAGCCCGTCTGCGCGGGTGCTCCCTGTCCCTCTGAGTCCCCGGCGCAGCCAGGCTCGGCCGTGGCACCGCGGTGCGGCAGCGACAGGTCTCCCCATGCGTCCTGCACGGTCTTGTGGGACGATCCCCTCAGCCTTCCCCACCACTGTCGGGTTTCCATTGTCCTTGGCAGGTGAAGCAGGGAGGGTGAGAGAGAGCACAAGGATTTCCTGCTCCTTCTGTCGGACTTCAGAGACTCCTGCAGCAGCAGCTGGGCTCCTGCGCCGGAGCTGTTTGCCTTCTGCCACTCTCACGCACCAGCTGTACCTTGAGCTCCCTAGCTGAAGGCCAGAGACTGGCTCCATTCAGCTCACTTCCCAGCAGTTCTTCGACCTGTGAGAACATAAACGGAGCAGTCACTTGCAGGAAGCGTTAATGACTTCAGCAATTCATTAATCAACAGAATTTTGAATTTGGGAGTGGATCTTAGCCAGCCAGTCCAGCCCGCTCAGCTGACTTTCTCCTCTTCTTGGTTTTTTGTTTTTATTTTTCCTTATAAAGCAGTGAAACATGGAGGCTCCTTGTAGTAGTTCTTCAGCTCTCGTTATAATTCCCAAAGCTTTGGAACAATTAGCTTCCTCTTTTCTCTTGGCATAGCCTTGGCCTAGGGGAGGGGTTACGGAGACAAGCTTGTTGGAGAGTTGAGTGTAACAGCGGCTGCCGCAGGAACGTGCCGTGATTCCTCCTGCGCAGGAGAGCAGCTGCGGGACCGAGCACCCCTTGGCAGCCTGGGAGGTGAACCGGAGACACCACGAGTGTAGGCGTGGGTGAGTGGGAAGGGTGATGTCACCGAGAGCTGATGGGGCACTGTTGCCTGCTAACGGGTGTCATGGCTCTGCGATGGTTCAGGGACGGGGGTACCCCCTCTGGCAGCACCTTTCTGGCTCGGTCTCTGTCGGACAAGCCTGCGCTCGTTCGAAAGACTGCTCTTGTTCTGGTGTCTCAAAGGGGAAAGAAGGAACTGATTCTCCGAGTATTTTTCTATGGATCATTAATCACAATTCTCTGTGCTACTTACCCAAAAATCTTGGAATGTTTCGCTGAGACTGGCAACTTCAGGGTGTCTGTTGTTGTTGTTCAGATTCTATCAGAGGACCTATTTTGGTTTGTCGTGTCTGCCCCGAAAATCCCAAGAGAGCGCTGCAGGAGGAGTAGGCATTTCTGGAAGCTTATCACTAAACCATGTATTAATTTTTTTTTTTTTTTTTTTTTTTGTACAGGTAGAAAAGGTGGCCACAAAGGCCGAGCAAGACAGTACACAAGTCCTGAAGAGATTGATGCCCAGCTCCAAGCAGAAAAGCAGAAGGCAAGGGTACGTGTGTGCCTGTGTCAGGTCCTTACTGTTGTAAGTCCTTGCAGCTCATGAGGAATGGCAGCTGGAGCAAGTGGTGCATATCATTCTCTCAGCGATCACAATGTGAATTCTGAATCTCTCTGGCTGGGGAGACTGCAAGGTGTGAGCCAGTCTGGTTCCTCACAGAAGTGAGGCCAGGTGGATGATCCAGTTCCCAGTTTGAAGGTTAGAGGATAGGGAAGGTGATTATACAGCAGCTCCACACATCTTTTCCCCCCATATTTCATCACTGGAGTCTGCAGAGTCGGCTCGTATTTTTTATCCATGCTCTGCAGCTTGGTTGGAGGAAAAGGACTCACATGTCGACATCTTACTATATACTGAAATTATTGCATTCACCCTCTTTCTCTTCTAGACTCAAAAGACCAAACTCCCTTGACTCCTTCCTGTACGCATGCTTTTATTTTTTACCTCTGACTTGTAGGGAGAGATACCAGACTTTTCTGGCCTGAGTCCTTTTTTGGGCATGTTTCTGTGCCCCAACATAGGATTGTAGCAGCTCCCCCCCTTCCACAGCTGCCTGACTGGTGTTACCAACGGCATGGCTGCTTTGTGCAGCACTTGCTCTCTTGCATCCCCAAATGATCGCAGCTCCCATGGCAGTCTCACTGCTATGTTTCCAGGACTTTCTTCAAGTGCTGCCGAAGCCCTAATACACTGTTCCAGCTGAAGCCGCACAGCTCCGCTACAGGAGGATAATCACACCCCATGTAGGAAATACTGATGAGTACCTCCAGGAGATTACTCTTTCAAGCAGTTATGAGCCATACTGGTGACTCCTTTTTAATCTTTTGGCCAGCTGCAACTCAAGATGATTGTGTGGTTTGCTGCTTAGCCACATATTCCGGCTTTGTGTTGGGTTTCTTCTTCCGAAGGATAACTCCTCTTGGTTTGTTTCCTGATTCCCCTCTCCTGGTTTCGTGCCATCTTTCCAAATTCTGAAACCACGTATGGGTCCGATCCTGTTTTCCAAAATTATTCCAACTCCTACCAGGGTGATGTCATCCACAAACCTCAGGAGCGTTCTCTGAGTTGTTCATAAAAACACCAACTGGAAATGGAACAGAACAAGCGGGAGCCCACTTGAAATGTCTGTGTTTCCAAACAAACCAGAGAACCACTCTGTGAGAAGGATTTCTTCTTTTCCTTTTGTGATAATCGATACCACATACATCTAATGCTATTTCGTTAGGGGAAGCTTAAAAAAAATACCAGAATTACTCCTCTTACTGCCCTTAGCTCACCCACTCTGCCAGTTGCTCTGACGAGGGATATTTGGCATTGGTAAAGCTATTCACACCCCTGTTGGTTCTTCTAATCTTATCTTCTCATGATTTACAAGTTAATTCCTAGACCTCTGACTGGTAACAGCTGTGCTAAAAAAGCTGTAGTCTCTTGGATAATAATGTTCTGGTTGGTGGTTGTCACGTTGTTCTCCTCCAGGTTTTTTTTTTTTGTCTAGATCTAGGGTTGGATCCAGCTCCACATTACATCTGTGTAGTTTCCAGCCCCTGAGATATTATGCACTGGAAAATGGGGCCAAAGCGTCTCCTTTTGGGGAAAGTAAAGTGCCAGTTCTGTCTTTTACAGTAATTTTCCTGGCTTGTAATGCAGAGAGAAGAGCAGAGATGTTTGGAGGTGATCAGCCAGGGTGGGTGATGCACGCTTACGTGTTGAGAATGAGCTTTTGGAACAGCCCAGCACCTTTGGGGTCGTCAGGAACACCAGTGCTCTCAGAGCTGTCTCTTGTCCCTCCAGAATGATTTCATTCAAGAGTCGCTGCTGGATTTGGGAATTTATTGACATAATTTTCTCTAATTTCCTGTGACTTTGTAGGAAGAAGAGGAGCAAGAAGAAGGAGGTGAAGGAGCAACAGGGGACCCCAAAAAGGAGAAGAAATCTTTAGATTCAGATGAGAGTGATGAAGATGACGAGGACTATCAGGTACTGCAGTTTTCAGGGCACTTAATGCATTTGCACCTCCCAGATTCTTGGGGTGGGAGAGGGGTGCACGCTCTTGACTCCAAATTCTCATTGACGGCTACCTATAGTAAATTTTTTATGGAAAGACTGTTTTTAGAAGCCAAAACCTCCCTTTACTTGATGGCATTTTGCCCTCAGAATGAAAACTTGTGTATTTTTATAAGGGAAATATGAAGGCAAGAATATTTCAAACAAGGCTGGATGCCTGGTAGTACAAATCTTGGTTCATAAGTAGTTTTGCTGTCTGGTAGTGAAAATATCTTGAATTCTGGTTTTGTTGCGCTGTGTTTGATGAGCTCTGGTACAGCCCAGTGCTGGGTATGAGAGAGCTTTTTAACTCTCTTCTTGTTCTTGATCCTTAGCAAAAGCGCAAAGGAGTGGAAGGGTTGATAGACATAGAGAATCCCAATCGTGTCATTCAGACAACCAAAAAAGTCACTCAGCTGGACCTGGATGGACCTAAGGAACTCTCACGACGAGAGCGGTGAGTCTTTCCTGCTGCCTCAGCGGGAGCTAGTGCGCTCCTGGAATTTCAGCCTTGCTGGTGGCAGCAGTAACGTGGGGAAGTGTTTCCATGCGTCGGTGTTTCAGGGAAGCCCGTTAAATGTGTTGCTCTCTAAAGCGGACACTGAACTGCGGCAAACGGTCAGGCAGGGCTCGCTGTGCTTCAGAATTTATTTCCTTACAAACTTCACACACATTGTGCGTTCTCTGGAAATAACTCTGGCCATCCTGGAGCCAGGCCAGGATGGCTGGGTGTGCTGAGAGTGAAGTTTGTCGCTGTGAAGCGGATGTGGATCACTCCTTTCCTGCAGTTTTATTGCCAAAAATGAGATGTAACAGAAATCCATTATGCAGGGGTCACCCTGGGGTCTGCTTTAATCCCGCTACAGAAGGTGCCCTGGTGACAAGTGGCAGCTTCCCAGATTCCAGGGGTCATGGTGAAATTTTTGTCTGAGCAGATGAATGAGATGAAAACAAAAGTTTAATCTTCTAGTTTGATTTAGCAGTTGAGGATTTCAGAGTGAAAGATTTAAGCTGGCTTATTTGGAATAGATTGCTTCAGCAGAAGTCCACCTTTGTGAGGGTGGGGCCGAGGAAAACATGTCGTGGTGCTGTGCCGTCTGGGGCTCATTCATTTGACCTCGTTGTGTGCCAGTGCCCTTATTTCCCTGAACAAAGGCAGAAATAATCTCTCTCATCCTGTTCAAACCCCACAGCAGATACAACCCATGGTTGAAAATTGGTGACAGGACCCCTCAGTCTCTGTGGGCAATCCCCCTCTGTCCCCACAGTCCATCCCCGTCAGAAAGCGTCCCCCGCTCCCCCCGACTGCCTCCTTACCTGGGTGCTCTGCTGACTGGTGTGTTTCTCTCAAACAGAGAGGAAATAGAGAAGCAAAAGGCAAAAGAAAGATACATGAAGATGCACCTAGCTGGTAAAACAGAACAAGCGAAGGCAGATCTCGCCCGACTAGCCATCATTCGGAAGCAAAGGGAAGAAGCTGCCAGAAAGAAAGAAGAGGAAAGAAAAGGTTAGAGAGTAATTAATCATCTCTTTCTTCTCTTTTGCAATGCCCTTACTGCCAAGAGGCGTGAGTTCTCGTATCACACGTGGTAATCCCTCATCTCCTGAGACTCTGCGCTGTCACTGGGTGTCATTACAACTCCTCTCATCAAAACCGGGTTCAGCTGTTTCGTTCTTGTAAAGCTTTTGCTTTCTAAGGCTCGAGGACATCTGAACAGGGAATTACCCTCGATAACCATGTTGTCCTCAGCCTCCCAGGCAACGCTTGTGCTGGTTTGGGGGTTTGGCGGGTTCCTTGTGCTGATTTTTCTGCTGTGCGTGCTGGGGATCCGAACTTCCCCGGGGTATTTGCAGCGCTCCTCCCCTGCCTGGACTTTCTCTTCGGCTCCGATAGGTGTGAACGCGGAGTCTGATGAGCACGGCTTCTCCGTGGCTTCCACCGAGAAATTTGTGCCTCAGCATCAGGGTAATTTGTGGGTGCCTGAAGAGAGGCCACGGACAGACGGGGACATGCAAAGGGAGCTGCTCCTCTTAACTCTGGAGGGGATCTCCCAGGGGGTGGTGGGGAGGGTTGGATTTTTTCCCATTACCTTGCTGTACGTGGCTAGCAGGATTTCAGTCTCTAGGGCCGTCAAGCCCCCACCAGTCCCTGGTAGATGCTGTGAAATGATGAAACCTCTGCTCTTTTCCTCCCCAGCAAAAGACGAAGCGGCCATGGCAGGTAAAAGACTGCAGTCACTATCCCTTAACAAGTAAGCCCAGGACACGCAAGAGGAGGAGACGCCAGGGAACTGTGCCTGGTGCCTGCCAGGAACTCTGTCGCATTGCATACCATCGATGTCACGTCAGGTGTAACCGTGGCATCAAAGTCACCTTCACCTCCAAGAGACACTGACGATGTGTTTGTCTTCATCCTGGCACAGATTTCCATTTGGGGTTAGGGGCAGCTGCTCTCTTCGGTGCAGAGCTGTGCTGAACAGCAATTCTCTGTAACAGTTTGGAAACCTGAATGTTTTTGCTGGTTTTACGATTAAGAACTCATAGACAAGGGGCTGGGTGGGAGGGAAGATGCTTCAAATATTAGATGGCAAGAAAATAGATTATGGGGTGGGGCATGGGGTGGGGAACTTTGACTTGCTCGGGAAAGCCCAAAGGATCATGTATCTGAGGAATCCTTTCGGGCAAATGGCCCATCAAATTTTGCTGCAGGGTGTTGCAGTATAATCTGGGAGCCTGACTTTATGGACATCTGGAGTGCCGTTCCTTCCCGGTTTCATCCCTCCTTTCTTGCAGCCAGTCTCCCCTTTTCCCTCCTCTTCATTTTTTTTTTTCTTCTCCTTATTAGGGATAGTGCCAGTTTTTAACCACATCATCCTTTGTTTAAAGGAAAAAAAAAAAAAACCAACAACATTAATTGTATCAGACCCAGATGGGAAAAAAAAAACTTGATAAGGTTTAAAAAACAACAACAGAACTTGTATATTTGGCTGATTAAAATGTAAATTATCATAACTGCTCTGTCTGTGTTGTGTGTGTAAATGAACACTAGTGTCCAGGTTCCTGCTGGGATGCAAGATGTGGGAGCAGTCTGGGGATGTGGCGACTTCTGCGTCTTCTCGTGCCCCGAGTTAGAGATGAGGGAGGTGGAAGTCGGAGCTGCTCTGACCAGAGTCGCCCGGCAGCCCCCGGCAAGGGGCTGGAAAGGGGCTGGGTTGGTTCCGCAGCCCGAGGGGTCCGCACCGGCTCCGTGGGCGGGGGATTGCACAGCCGACAGGACTCACCGGTGTCCAGGAGCTCGGCTCTGGGAGCAATACGGGAAACCTCTGTGTCCCTGCCACCTCCACCTGGGAAACCTGTGTGTCCCTGCCACCTCCACCCTCACCGCTGCCTTTTCTCTGCTGCTGATCCTGTTCTGAAATCGCACCGAAGCAGGGCGCGGGGAGCCAGCGTTCCCCTGATCCCCATGGTCCCGATTCGTCCTTG